CATTGGGTCCACCCCGCCACCCCCCGTGCTTTTTGTTAAAATTAGGGAGAGAACGGGGTCAAGGAAGACTTGGCTGGAGCTCTATGCCGGGCATTTGTTTAATGTAAACAAAGAGCAAGTCGCACCCCACTCTAGCCCCTCATCCCCCTCCCTCTCCGATTTTTATAAACAAACAGGGAAGAGGGGGAGAGGGGGCTTGGGGGGGCCGCCAGTGTGAAGACCAGAGGCTCTGTGGGGTTGAACCTTCACATTGATCAGTTCCTCTAAAATGTAAACATGCTGCTTATTTCCACTCCATCGAGGTAATTGATTTTTTTTTTTTTGGAGAGAGAGTCTGGCAAGAGAGGATTGCAAGAAAAGAAAAGAAATGAACGACACGGAAATCTCTGCAAATTCAGATCACTTCCATCTGGATTTTTTTTTTGTAAACACCTCTTTTCTAGACTAGGGTAACAGATGTGGGAGAAGTATAAAAGAAAATATTTATAGGATGCCAATACAAACAAAAATAAATCGTCCAGTAAAATTTTTTTTTTTTTCGTCCAGTAAAATTTATACCAGTTTCCAACATGTGGTGGTCTTCAAAAGAGCCCCAACGCTCAGAATTTAAAGTTCTTGTCTGCGAAGCGTAAGGTCCCGAGTTGGAATGAAGGTTGCTAACCAAAGGGTCTGCTTTGGGGACTCGCCAGCCGCTCGGTGGGAGAAAAAGGTGGCATTGGGCTCTCGTAAAGATACACAGTTTTGGAAACCTTTTGGAGCAGCTCTCCTGGATCCTACTGGGTTTCTACCAGTCCAAATGGACCGCACACCACAGCACTGGTGTGTTTCATTTGGTATTGGGTGGTCAGCAAAGAACTAATCATTTACAAAGACAATGAGATGCTTTCAGGCTGCAGGTACACTTTAAAGAAATAGTAAATAACGTGTCCCCTTAAGATTCTATGGTGACATTGATTAAATTCTGATTATAAAAGAATAGCTACTTTAAAATGTAATCCTTGGGCAGCATACTAATTTAAGCAAATGATAGAGTTTAAAGGCTTTCACTGAAGCAAGGAGGGGAAACCCATGGTTTAGCCTTATTGCCTTCTTATTACTAAGCAATTAAACATCATCTAAAAATGATTTTTTTTTGTATAGAGAAATTTAGTTCCTAGCCGTGTTACCCTATTTTCTTGAAACTGCAGAGTGAATATTTCCTTCTGTTTCAGGCATGGTCTAAACTGGTGAATGTGGGGGTGGTGGGGTGGTGGGGTGTTCAGAAACTGGAATTTCATGATCCTATTTCCCTTCCCTCTTGGACCTGGAAGCATCAGCTTAAGATATAATTTTTGTCAACTGACTTGTCCAATTGCTGGTTTGAGAGAGCTCTATAGCGAGGGTGTTGATGGGGGGCACTGAGCTGGTGCCTAGAGTGTACACTTTAAGGATGCTCCTTGCAGGATCATGCAAGAACAAAGTCAGCACCGGGAGGGCATAGATCCTTACATTTTGCACACTAGGTACCTCCCTTGCCTTACCATCTATCTTGCCATTTGACTGCTTTCCTCATTTGAGTCCTGTCCTTGCCCCTTGGCATTCCAGGAATAACCGAGGGGTTCTAGTAAGCAAATTAAGAGTCTTGAAGAAGTTCTACCATCTTAGACTTTCTCCAGACTCCTAAAAGGTCATCTCCTTGTTTTAGTGATCAACACCAATTTGATCTCGAAGACTTCCTCACTGGGTCTTATGCAGATCTAGAGCTCTTGTGCAAGAAAGAAGAGTTTTGATTTTCAAGAAGTCTCAGACTGTATCCCAAATGAGATAAAGTGGTTTAGAAACCAAAAATCAATCCTTGATTCATGTCCGGGATCTCTACTGTATACCTTGCTGCTTGATTGTTTTTTGTCTTCCATGGTGTCATTTATTTTTATTTGGTTTGCCCTTTGGCTTTTTTTGCCTAAAAATGTGAACATACTTCCGATTCAAAGAGCACCTTCTGAGGCAAGACAGATAAATGCAAGGACATCATTTGGGTGGGGGAGGGGAAGAGGATGTGAGAGGTTAGTTAAGTGATTTAAAGATCAATGTCAAATGTTATAATATGCAATCCTGTTCCCTAGGAAATAGCTCTTTGGAGAGCTGTAAGTTTCCTGGTGCAAGGACAGTAGTAGGTATTTATTTGGGTACTTTTGAAGGGGAAAACATGGAGTGTATAAAATCTTTTTAATGCCTGTCACTTCTCTACAGTCTTGTTGTATACCTCAGTAACTGACATGATTACATCTGCCCCCACCCCACACACCCTTTCTGGATCTTCCTCTCGATGAAAACCAATTGTTGGAATAGAACCACTTCTTCCGCATGAAGAAGCTCATCCAGTCATTTACAACCTCTCACATTCTCTTATTTTAATCAAAGGTCAACCAGTAAAGGCAGTATATGCCCACTCTGGCATGATTACGAACCTGGGTGTCCACTGCTTTTGTATCAGCGAGGTCCTTGAAGGCGATACAAAGCCATTCTCATCCCAAGCCAGTATAGTCTTGCATTTGTATAATGTAGGACTCACTCTTTGAGTACTGGGGTTTCACTTCCAAAGTTGTACCTTCTGAATACTACACAAAAGTGTCACATGGTTAAGTCATAGTTACCTATGCTAGGGACTCTTTGGGGGAGCTGCCTTACAAAGTATGCTCCCCTTGCCAATTTCTAGGTTTAAATACACATGCACACATATGAGAGTGTCTGTTTATATATATGTATATATATATATGATTTACAAATATATAAACAATATGTGATTGTTGTTAGTTGTGGCGGAGTGGCTTCTGGCCCTGTGTACAGAATCCGTCTGCTCCCCAGGATTGTCAAGGCGGTGATCTTCAGCGGAGCCTCTGAACCACCCATACTATTCCGCATTAGCCATCTGAGTCACCCAGGGATAGAACGGAGAGGCAGAGATAGCGTTAGAGACATAAATACACCTGGGAAAGGGTGTAGATCTGCCTAAGAAGAGACCGGGAGATGTCAGAAAAGGCCACAAGTATAGAAAGGACCCGCGTGCAACCGTTTCATTTCACAAGGTTCCTGGCCCAGCAGGAATGTGAAAGCAGCTCCGTGAGTGAGTAAGAACAGTTGCTCACCAGGTTGTTTTATTATTTTGCTGTTGCTACACACACACACACACACACACACACACACCTACACACACACCTACACACACACACACCTACACACACACACACACACACACACACACACCACCCCCACCTTTTTGCGCCAGGAAGCGCATTGAGAAACCTACCCAGGAGTCCTTTAAATAAGTAAGTAAACAACATATATATGCTTTGTTAAAAAAACAAAAAACAAAACCCACAAACCTTTAAAGCAAAAGTTATACATAGATAACAGCGTCCTTTCGACGTGGCATGCCCGCGGGACACAGAGGGTAGAAGGTCCGCGTGCGGTTCAGATTCCAGCGGCAGCAAGGTCTTTCGGAAAAAGCGAAGCGGGAGGACAAGGCGCTGGCTTCCGCCTGCCTTACGGGCCCGCGCGGGCGGTCGCTGTGCGAGGGCGGCTGTGGAGCCCGATTCCACTGGTTCCTCTGGTTCCTGGCTGCTTGGCTTCCTCGGGGGCTGGGTTTGCACGGGTTGTCATCCTCCTTCATGTTATCGGTCGCATTTTTACACCGGATTCCGTTTCTGAGCATGCCAAACGGGGCGGCTCAGATGTCGCATTCGCTGTCGCTGGACGTGATGGAGATAGCGGAGGTGGCCGCCTTACTTGACAAACTAGCGGCGGGGCTGACCGCGGCGCCCAGCATCTCCGGTGTGCCTGCCTCCTCTGCCCGCAGAGCCCGGCCAGAGCCCAGAGGGAGCCCCTGCTGCTGGAGCCTGTGAGCAAGGAAGGGGAGACTGATCACAGGGGCGCCCCGTTCCAGCCGCGCCCACCCTGCTGCGGCGCGCGATCGCCCTCGTTCAGCGCGGAGAAGGCCGGAGGGAGCCTGCGGCTGCGGCTCCCAGGAGCTCAGCCCTCCTCGGGCTCTTTCTCGGCGTTCCACCTCCCCCAACACACCCCGTCTTTGGGATGGTGGGATCGAAGGGGTTCCCCCAGCTGTTGCCCATTTTTGTTTTGGAGGAGGGGGGCAGGGATTTATAGGCCTATCAGAAAATAGCCATGTCTAGACCACAAAGGGAAGATTAGGCTCCTGGACTGGAGTCGCCCGCCGGGGACGCCAGCGTGAGGACCTCTGGGAGGAGCGGGCCAATTGCTGGCACAAACGGCCGCTGGAGCATGGCAAGGAAAGTCTGGGTCTGGAAGACTAGCCTGGGCTCATCGAGATGTACACGCTAGGAAGTGGAAATCCGAACCCGAGTACCAGTCTTTGGCTGTTTGACCACGGAGTGACCAAGCTCGGGACGAGAAAACTCGACTTCTGACCTCCTTTTAGAAACTGCAGTCTCCCGAAAACTGTTTTCGAAGCATTTGAGTAGGATGCACCTGGGTGTTTTTAAATAACAATTAACACTAAACCTCCATTGTTTGAAAGCCAGGCTTCGCCTCGTAGCAGGAGCCTTGGCCCAGGCTGAAACAATTTGCTTTAAGCCTGGCAGTCCCTCATTGTTTGTGGGGGTTTAATTTTTTCTTTTCTCTTTCAATGCAGCCCTGGTTTGGTGACCCAGACCCACTGCTGCAGCGACCTCCAGGAGCTAGGGCGGGAGAGGGTTGCGTACCTAGACTCTGCAGGGAGCCTCCCCCAGCCCCCCTACCCCCACCCTGGGGGCTAGCTAGAAAGCTGTGGTCTGGCGCCCTCCAACCGCTGCTGGCTCCGAGGCGTCCCCAGCCAGGTGAAGGGGCCCAGGTGCTGCCGCTCGCCTCCTCTGGGCCACGCGCCTAGGCTGCTAGGTACACACCTGTTCTTGGCTGCCGCTGCCCTGTCCCTCTGTCGGCGGTTCTTGAACCAGTTGCCCACCTGAGTTGGGGTCAGTCCGGTTGCCTGGGCGAGCTCACGCTTTTTGCTGGGGTTGGGGTACGGGTCCTGCAGGTACCACTCCCGAAGCAGGTGCCGCGTGCGCTCCTTGAAGCAGTGTGTCTTCTGCTCGCCATCCCAAATGGTGCGCGGCAGCGGGAACTTCTTCCGCACCCGGTACTTGTCCACCGGCCCAAGGGGCCGTCCGCGCAGCTTCTCGGCCTCCTGGTAGTGCGCTTCCAGCCACAGTGCCTGGAGCTTGGCGTGCGACTCCTTGGTGAATTTATGATTCTCTAGGATGTGGTAGAGCTCGCGGTAGTTGCCACCGTGAAAGGCCACGATGGCCCGCGCGCGCAGCACCGACTCGTTTTTGTTGAGGGCCTCGCAGGCGGCCGGGGCCACAGGCAGCGACCAGAGGAAGCGACCCAGGCGCTCCACGTCTCCGCTTTCCTCCAGGGTTTCGCATACCCCGGCCACTTGCTGTGGGCTGAAGTTCAAGATGGGCAGCTGGAACATCGAGGCGGCGGCGGCGGAGGCGCTGGGCACCGAGCGGGACGCGCAGCAGATGCCCGCGGGCCCGGCCGGGTGCGCCAGGCTCTCCTGCGTGCGGCGGCCTCGGGGGCACGAGGAGGGGCACGCAAGGAGGTCGCGTTCGGCTGGGCTCAGCTCCCGCGGACAGGCGCCCCTACTGGGGTGGGCGGATTGGCGACGCGGGCGCCATGGAGACCCCCTGTCAGTCACAGGCCGGCTCTGCCAATCAAGACGTTGGCTAGCTAGTCCGGGCCGTTTCAGCACCTCCCCGCGCTTGACAGCGCCCACCGCGCGTCCTCGGAATTGTGTGGGGAAACCGCCGGCCGAGAGCAGCAGGGTTTCACTGCCCCCCACCCACCCCCACACCTTTTCTGTTTCCCTGAAGAGGCTCTGATGCTTCAGGAATCCACTTAGGGACGAGTCATTGCTTTGGTCGAGGGGGTTCCAGAGGACAAAGAGGCCTGGGCCAAATGGAAATCCTCCAGGAATTTCCAACTTTAGTTGTCAAAGAAGCAGCGCGCGGACCGGAGAGGGCCGGGAAGTGGAGAGGGTGAATCACCCTATTCCTCCCCAAACACCCATCCCTGCTTGCTTCCCCGTTCCCCGGTTTTCCAGCTGCCAAAGCAGCGGAATGGGAAGTGAATATCTGGAGCAGAAGGAGCGGGACCAGGGATCTGTAGAAGAGGTCAGTTTGGAACACCCCTCCCCCCTTCCTTACAAAGCCTCCTGAAAACATTTAAAACTCTAAGCAAGGCTTGGCTCACATCTGTTAATCCAGGTGCTGACCATGAAGCCAAGCTCTTGCAATCAAAGGAGGGCTATAGGGATGTGTCGCCGAAATAAAACGTAAACTTTGCAGCTCCTTCTTCCCACCCCCTCCCACAGTTAAATGGACTCCAACAAATGTGCACCCAGAGTGAAAAAGTCATTGGCTGGTCAGGACAGCAACTTAAAAGCTTATTTCAAGGTCTTTTAAAAAAAAATTGATTTGTTCCTCTCCTTGCCGACTACTCTGTGTTAGAATAGGTGTTTGAATATATAATTCCTGAGCTGGGGAAAGGAACTCTAACCTTGGCCTTTTAGCCTAACCGCTAGTCAATCAAAGTCACATAAAGAAAGAGGGAGTGGGCACAATAAGGGGACCTAGAAAGCGCTTCCTCTGAGCAGTGACCCCTCAGGCAGAGGGGAGGACCTCCTGGGAGGGGCTACCTTTGCCTTCCGGCTGGCCGGCAGCTGGAACTGGCAACTTTTATTGATTCCCAATTGACATCCAGGTCACACTGGTTTTTTTCCTGAAGCTTTAGCAAAATAAATAAATAAATCACTGTTTAATCCGGGGCCTTTGATAACATGTAGCTACTCTGAATAAGCAGGACAGGGGATTCAACGAAAAAGCCAGGAAACCTGGGAGGCCCAGGTCAGATGGGAAGGTTCACCGGCAAACCGGATTGGGTCGGGATATCTTTTCTTTAGTATCAAACACAATGTGTCCAGGGCTCTCACAGATCTGGTAAATCAGAAGGCAGATAGATAGCACAGATGGTTGGAGGTGTCGGGTCAGATCATACTACGCCCGAATGCCGGGCAAAGCTCGTTCTGACGGAAAACCTTGATATTATTTTCACAGTTCACTGAGGGGTAGGGGGGTGGAAGAAAACAGGGGGAAGGAACATAAAACATAAAACATTAAAAAAAAGCCTCATTCCTGTGAGGTGGCCTGCGGCCCAAACGTAGAGATTTTCTTTTCTAAGCTCATTTTCTTGAAATGTGACAGGGCAAGGGCAAAGCTAAGGGGGCCATGAGGCTAATGACAAAGCACAAACCTCCTCTCTAGGTTGGGGTGACTTCCAAATCCGTTGTGGGGAGAGGAGCAGGGGTGAAGGGGCTCTGGGGGAGGCAGGGCTTTGTCCTCAGCACCCCTGTCCAGGGATCAAGAGTGGGACACAGGAGTATAGCCCCTTCACAGGCCTTTGCCTCAATTTGTAGACGTGTCTTATTTTCCTCTCCAGGTTGTCTCCCCTCCAGGTTCCCACTGGAAGACACCTTCAGGGGGTCCTCCACTGGGGAAGAGGCCACAAGTAGCTGAGACCTGGGTCTCCCCACCCCCACAGGCGCCCCAGGGCTGGCTGTGTCCCTAGGAGACAGGGCCTCTCTCATACCCTTTGAAAAACAGCAGATTTGGGGGGAGAAGTGGTTTCTAACCTGTGCATTTTCTAAGGAACGGGAATACTTACCATCTAGCCCATTTCTTGGACAATATATTCTGTTCTCATCAAAGATTAGAGAGACTGCTTTAGTGTCTGCTTGTCTAGCACAAGCTCGGCAGAGACAGGCACCTGGCACCAGGCAAAGGCAGTGGCCGACAGAGCTGAGCCTGGCCAGATATGGCGTAGGGTGCCAGTGAGGAGCCCTGAAAGGCACCCAGAGGCCCGGCGCTGGGGCTGCAGATGTGATGGCGTCCCCTGGGGCCACTTTGAGCCACGTTTCTGGTGGGAAAGGACCACACAGGAGCAGGGACAGGCTCACACCCTGGGGGAAGGGCCCTGCCTTATAAAGCCCTTACTGAGGATTAGGCGAGGACACCCAGCTCACCTTAATAAAGGCGCACCACTCCTGGGGAGTCTCAGGCAAAAGGGTTGCTCTATGGGTTGGCTACTATTATTTTTACGAAAGGGTAGTTTTGGGGTTTGCTTTTTTAACTGACTTTGGGACTTTGCACCAACCTCGGACTACCCAGCCATCTCTCTCTCACTTACACACACACACACACACACACACACACACACACACACACCACATTTTACTCTAGCTGTTTGACGGAGAAACCTCAACTGCACGATCTTGGCCTTCCACCTGTCCCCCAAAGCTGCTAGCTGATTCGGGCACTTGAGGTCTTGGGCCATTGCTTAGTTATCACTGGGAATCCACCGACATCTAGCCTGCTTTCTGAGGTTATGGGGATGTATGGAGCAAACATTGCGCTGAAAGATGGTGTCTTCTCTGTCTGGTGCTGGATTTGGGCAGAGTCCACGCAGAGATGTTTGGTTCCAAGGAGAGTTCAGCCTGCCACCTCACACAGAGAAAGTGTCCAGGCTCTCTTTCCTCTGCTTCCATTCTTTGGGATTGAGCAGTGGAAGGACCTGTGAAGCCCTGCCTACTGCCAGGTTCGAGGAGCACCGAGCTGGGAGGTCAATATATTTTTACCTTTGGATTCAAATCGCAGTCTTGTCTTTCTCTCACTCTCTTATTTTTTCTTTGACATTCTTTCTATTTTTCTTTCACTTTGACTGCCTCTCCCAAAGATGTGTTTTGTTGTATTTTCCACCCAATTTCAGAGAGGATCATCAGAGGTCCTAACAATGTCGCGATCAAATGCAGCTGAATCACTTGATAAAGACGTCTGTGCTATTAACTGAGCATCCCAAGTAGCAGACAATGAGGACTCCGTCTTTTGTGTTGTCGATTTTGACTTTTGAGGGAAGAGATTTAGGGTTCTTTTTCATGACCATCACAGCGTGTGTTGCCATGAGAGCAGATTTTAAACCAAAAAAGGAAACCACAACGCTTAATTAATGTTTATAAGTACAAAACATTCTAGAGAAGTTAGCCATGATATTTCACGGCCTTCAGTATTATCATCTGCAAGTGTCACTCTCCACACATTCGCCATCCTGGATTCCAGGTGCCACATCAGCATAAACATAGATGTATACTTGTTTATGCACAAGTATGTGGGGCTCCACCTTCAGCTCTGGAATGAATTCAATATCCAATTGTCATTTTGATACACTCTCTTATACATTCTCAAAGTAGACAGCTCTGTTTCACAAATTCCTCCCTTGCCAAGAGGCACCCAGTAACAAAGAACAGAGAAGCAGCTTTTTTGTAAACTTCAGAGAACAGCCACCATTTGAGAAATGCTTTGCAGGTTCCTAGCACTGTCAAATGGAGAAAAAAATATGATAATATGTTAATCTAAGTTTAAGAGATTAGGATATTTTGTTGTTAGTTGCATATTTAGTCACCAGGTAATTGTTAAAAATATTTTTTAATGATTCAGAATTATTTGTGTTTTGAAGTGTAGGAGATTTTAATAAGCTGAAGAGGGGTGGGTGTTTCAGTTGAAAACAATGGTAAATTAGCCATCATGCTTTGTAGTTTGTTTGCTAGGTAGACCATGCAACTCTATTTTGATCTCTCATTTGTGATTGCTTCAGGGCATTTGGGTGAAAAACTTGTATATAAGCCAAAGAGCATGTTACAATTTACATTTCAGTAAAGCTGTGGTCTTAAATTAAATTTTTTCTATTCTTTTCTGCTTAAATGTGCAAAGTTAAATGTGCAGTTACCCACACCATGGTATTGCTTGCTTACTGTTATGCATCAGTGGATTCTTATCTGCAGTATTAATGCTTTAAAACACAATTATTTTTGGCCATTTTCAAAATGAAGATCAAAGTATCTTTTTGATATGTACATAGAAATCCTAAAGTGAAAGAATAGAAATTCACTTCAAATCTTATTCACATTAAATTATGAGGATTTCACATATGTATTAATTGTACATACTGTATGTAATAAAAAGGTACCTTGGGGACCTGGTGGATTACACTTTGGGTTGCTAACCACAAGGCCAGCAGTTCAAAACTACCTTTCTCTATCCATAAAGATTTACAGCCTTAAAAAAAAAAAGATTTACAGCCTCTGAAACCCACTGGGGTAGTTCTACTCTGTCCTATAAGGTCACTACAAGTCTGAACAAACTCAATGGCAATGTGAGAATGTTTATATGTCAGAATTCCCATCCAAGTATTATTTTACTCCTTAAAGAATTGATTCCCAGCTGAAGTCAATTTTGCACCACCCATCCCCTTGAGTGAACTTTGACAGTCTCTGAGACCTGTTTTGTAAGGGAGGCCTGAGCTGCTGCTAAATAGGTTTAAATGAACACAGTAGCCCCCACCTTCACAACAAAATACCAATAAGACCCAAACATATGA